ACTGCCGTGTACACCGCGTCTGTTTAAACTGCCATTGTGCTAACCGGTAGAATTTCAGCGTAATATGAGGGGAAAAAGTGCCGGTCCTCCGAGGTTCGTAGAGATGGTGGCCTGAGTAAAAACTTGGTGGGCTCGGGCCTCCGGGATCGGAACTAATTTCTAACGCTGCCGGCGGCACGGGAGCGATTTTTTCTCGTATCTTCCAAAATTTTCGCTCTCGTAATTGTTGTTACCAGAGCGCTTTGAAAGCTGACGGGAGCGAAATCGCTCGCCGCTCCCGTGTATTTTTTTCGCTGGTTGCCTCTGTTATCCTTTCGTCTACTAGAAGTAGCAGGCCACGAAATTCAGATTTTTTTGCACCGCCCCAGAGGGCTGGTAACAGCAATTTTTTACCAGCCCTTACCATAATTTACCAGCCCTCACAAATTTTGTTTGAAAATTAATGTCGTGTTTCACGCTTGCATTCTCGATTTCAAATTTGTAAAATGTTGATAAATTATGGCATGATATCCTTCAGGTAAAACAGTAATACTAATATAGGCTATTTGCTCATTAATGCTATAAATAAAAATGTAGGTACTCGCTAACACGGCTGAAACCACCGGCTCGGAGGGCCGGTGTTTTGCCGATGTTACCGGCCCTCCAAATAATTTGCCGGCATATGCCGGTTGGCATGAATACTGAAAGTATTCTCGACAAAAGATCTTGTGCCATGTAATCAAGAGCAGATAAAGAAGAAGATAAACCTTCTTTATCTGCTCTTGATGTAATCTATGTAAAACCAATAAAATATTGTCATGCAATTACATGTCTTATGAAACAAGGAATATCAGTTTATTTTTGCATCATACTCAATTGTTTTACGTTTTCCATCTAGCATTTTCATTTTAGGTTGACCCCTTTTTTTTTTAAGTGCTTAGGTTGGTTTTTTCTCACACCATAGATTTTAAGCAAAGTTGGGAGCTATCTGAACATGCCGGGCCTCAACATATCTAGTGACTACATCAACAACTTTATAAAAGCTGAGAAGACATTCCTCTATCAGTTGGTGTTTGATCCAGTAACGAGGAGAGTGGTACCCCTGGAGCCGTATCCAGATACCATTGATCCTGACGATCTGGACTTCGCTGGACCGTATCTTTTTGATTCTTCTGCTAATTTTTTAAACGTAATGCAAAATTTCCTTGTATTCAGCAAGTGGTGTGCAATCTATGCAAAATGTAATTGCCACAGAAGCCTTCATTCTTATCCAGTAACTAAAACGAGTATGAAATTTTAGTTTTCGCAGAAGTGAAATTGATCAACTAATTAGATGCTTGAGATTAAATATATTCAACATCTCTTCTTAGCAATCCATTTCGCTACAATACAGTTCTCTGACAAGCCTGTTACTGTTCTTGACCACGAGTCTGCCCTAGGCTCATCGACAAAGTCGCTGCACTGCAGTTAGCTCTCGGGAATCTCGACGTCAATACGCTGAAACGGTTAGGAGATTACGACCCAGACAAGCCAGTGGTGCGTTACTATTTAGTAACTAATGTGCTGTTGGTCTGTACAAGTGTTGACCACTCCAACACTTTCATATTTGTACTGTTCATAAGTTAAGATGCAACAAGTGGGGAACAATTTTAGAAATATAAATACATTTTTTTCTCATTCTATAGGCAGCCAAGAGGTTGATGACTGATTCTAAAGCCAGAGTCATTGAATGGCAGTAATTTCAGCTAATGTTGTTTTTAAAAGTGAATTTGTGTTGGAATGATTTATTGCTGAAAAACGCAATTCTATGCAAGAGTTTTATGGTGAAAATGTCTGACAATAAGTTACAAGAATGTAATTATATAGTCTCTTTGTGTGTTATTCTTCTGTGTATCAGCCTTCACCAAAGACAGACAAGTGGACATCCAATGTGAAGCGATCTTCCAGGGAACCACACATGTTCAGTATCTGGGATAAGAACTATAAGCCACGGGGACAAGTCAGAAAACCAAACCCTCTAGAGGTAGTAGAGCATGTTATAATCGATATCTGCATACAGCCTTTTTGTTTAGTTGTTATTTTCTAACATCAATATAGCATCAGTTCCACCTGTGATGTGAGAGACTTTGACTAAGAAAATAAAGTGAAAAGTGCAGGGAATTGCAGGAGGCCATTTCTCTTGTCTTTCAGTGACCAGCATTCTACAGACATTAGTGTAGTTGATTCCTATTTAAATTCTAGATAAACCGACATATAAGCTGGGATTAGAGTTTTTGTCATACATATGTTGTAGACACGCAACCAATGCTCGTGTTAGTGAGGTTGTGTTTCTCAGAGATGCTACATTTCCGGATTTTTAGCTCATCTGACGAAGTCGGATGCAGCTTGTAGAATCGCATGATTGTCCATGCGAGCGTCCGTGCGTGCATGCGTCCGTCC